ATATACAAATGTATGTTCATTTTTACAAATGTATAATAAATACAATTTTTTAGTTGACAAATTTTGGAAGATAGTTTCAATAAAAGTTTTTTAATCATTTGAAAAATAGTAGTATAAACGATAAAAATATTTGTAGAGATTTGAAAAAGCATAATGTAGTAAAAACAACCATTCAGTTTTAAATAAATATACTGTAAGTATACAGGGTGGTGCAACCAAGATGGGGTGGAGGATTACGCCTGAACGACGAGGAATTATGAAATAATTTGTTGTCACGAGGTGCATAGTTACGAGATCCATATTCTAAAAATATTTTCATTATACAGGGTGCACACAAAAGTCCGTGGCAAACCAAACATATGTTTTTTAAAATGGAACACCCTGTATTTGAATCCTAAAATGAATTCTACCCATTACTACGATGCTTTTGATATAATGGTTGATGAGTCTAAAGTTTATAGTTTTAGAGAAAATGGCGCTTAAACTTGAAAAACTACCCTCAAATCAATCAAATTCCTCCCGCATCTAAAAAGGTTGTCAAAAAACGAAACCTAGTACAAAATGTGCCATGACTATTTCACTCGAAAGTCAATTTTTTTAAATGGAACTCTCTAAATTTTATTTGCCTTATCTTAAAGGCAATAAAACCAGCTTTCAAAAAATATGGCACATGATACCCTTCAATAAAATACTTTCTTAGGAAATTATCGGAAAACATTGATTTTTCAAAGAGCGACTGAAACAAACTGTGAAATAACGACCAAAACTTCAACATTTAGTAAGAGGGCTATGATGTCAGTAAACTGTAGCTTCTCATTCTTTATTGAACTGATTTTAGGAGAAAGGAAGGGTTACATTCACAAAATATACAGTAGTTAATAAAGCAATAACAAATAAAGAAAATCAATACCATTATTACTAACGTTACAGAAAGATGTATCTAAATGCTTTATAAGAGTTGTTCAATCAGGCCGCCATTTTGTTGAAGACATATTTCAAGCCGATGTATGAAGGAACGTTCAACATTTCGTAAGGTCTGCTCTGTAATTTGACGGAAACATTGTTGAATCCGTATTTTCGTATCATCTGCCGTTGGAGGCATTCTATATACTTGTTCTGAGACATATCCCCACAAAAAGTAGTCCATCGGCGTCAGATCAGGAGATCTGGCCGGCCACACAATCGGACCACCACGGCCAATCCATTGATTTTTCTTCCAATTGTTTAAGTAATTTTGTACATTTATGTGAAAATGTGGCGGGGCTCCGTCATGTTGAAACCAGAAAGAATTTCTTAGTGCTAAATTTAAATTTTCTAAAAGCAGCGGCAATTCATTTTCTAAAAAATTTAAATAGATTTCACCAGTGAGATGATCCTCGAAAAAATTAGGGCCTATCACGTGAATACTAATTATTCCACCCCAAACATTTATAGACCACTTATTTTGGTGATCAATTTGGCGAACCCAGTGAGGGTTTTCTACTGAATAAAAGTGCATATTATGACGATTAATCACACCGTTACTTTTAAAATGCTGCTTGCTGATGTAATTCCATGTGATACGCGTGATATTTATGCTGCTTCAAAATTCTCGTGACGCTAGTGCGGTCTATACCTAGACTTCTCTCAATTTCTCTAGTAGGTACTTGTTTGTGGATTTTCTTGTACAGTTAGTAATACTGCTAGTTGATTTTCTTCATTTGTTACTGGTTTGTTAACTATTGCATGTTTTTTGAATGCAACACTACTAGTCTCTTCAAATCGGTTCAATAATGAGCGAAAAGCTTCAGGCCTTGATTTTTTCTCGTTTTCCGGATATCGTGCCGCATACACTCTACTAGCTAATAACGGATTTCTTTGACATTCGTATAGAACTGATATCATATTGATAATTTCTTGTGTACTTAAACTCATTTTGAAAACCTACTTTTACAAAACTGTCAACTACTTAATTGTCAAAGACAAAATGTTACAATCATCATACCCCTCTTACTAAATGTTGAAGTTTTGTTCGTTATTTCACAGTTTGTTTCAGTCGCTCTTTGAAAAATCAATGTTTTCCGATGATTTCCTAAGAAAGTATTTTATTGAAGGGTAACATGTGCCGTATTTTTGAAAGCTGGTTTTATTGCCTTTAAGATGGGCAAATAAAATTTAGGGTGTTCCATTTAAAAAAATTGACTTTCGAGTCAAGCTCCATCACCCTGTATACTAGTCAGTAATTTTTGAACCAGTCAAGATTCATTATTATACCCAAGGATATGGTACATTTTGTAATAGGTTTCGTTTTTTGACAACCTTTTTAGATGGGGGAGGAATTTGATTGATTTGGGGGTAGTTTTTCAAGTTTAAGCGCCATTTTCTCTAAAACTATAAACTTTAGACTCATCAATCATTATATCAAAATCATCGTAGTAATGGGTAGAATTCATTTTAGGATTCAAATACAGGGTGTTCCATTTAAAAAAACATATGTTTGGTTTGCCACGGACTTTTGTGTGCACCCTGTATAATGAAAATATTTTTAGAATATGGATCTCGTAACTATGCAACTCGTGACAAAAAATTATTTCATAATTCCTCGTCGTTCAGGCGTAATCTTCCACCCCATCTTAGTTGCACCACCCTGTATAGTTATGTATTTTTAAATATCCACTGTTGTCACAGAAAAATACAATTTTTTTTCACAATCAATCATTACAAATAAAACACATTATTTTTTATTATATTTAATATTACCAGTAATACATACATCTGAATAAATACTGCATTAGGTATCTACTGTACTGGCATTTCTGTACTAATAACATTAATTTTAAATACAAAACCATATTTTCTGCTATCACATGTCAACTGCATTAAAACATTTTTTTATATCTTCCATTTAACTTCATAACATTGAAATTTTAAGCCATTACCATTTATGATGGATTTACAATACATTATATTTGGGGGATTTCTTATTTCTCACAACACTCAAGAATCCACAGTATTTTGATTTACAAAAAAAATACTTTTCTGTTTAACTTCACAATTAATGTTTTACTTATTCAGCAAGACCCTCTGAATGTCCAATTTCCATCCAATTTCCAGCATTGTTTAAAGAACAGCATCTAAAAGAAACATTTTTCTGTAATTGTATTCTAAGACAACATTTGTTTATTCGTATACATACATTTCAGCTTTGATTACATCAGTTTTTCTTAATATAATAATTACACATCAACTACAAATTTCCATATTATTTTATAAATCATACACTCCAAAATAGGTCAATTTTGCTGCCAAATATAAATTAAAATTACTGACAACAGTGACAACTGAGAGCCACAAAATACAAAGTTAGTCACATATCTTTTATCATGATATAAAAGATTTGAGGTTAACCGGGTAGACTATAATGCTTACATCGAATCGTGACAAACCAACTATTGACCATAGATATAGTACTAGATATTAGATCTGCTAAGCAAACATATAGTAGAACAGCCTAGCGCCCTCATTGCTGTCTGGCATGAGCTAAAAATGAAACAGGCGGACAAGGATTTTTTTCTCATTTCACTACCTACTTTCCTACATTATTTATTGAAATCTCTTGATGAAAATTTATATAGTTACTAACCAGACGCTTTCTTTGAAAATCCATATACTGGATGTTCTACATAAAATGACCCAGGTCAGAATTATCGGTCCAGAGGCTTCTGTATATTTCAGAAATTTATTGATGGCGATATTTTTATGAAAAATCTTATATTGTAGAACTCAGAAGCATTTTGCAAATTTATATATTGAATGTTTCATATAAAAATGAAACAGGCGGACTAGGATTTTTTCTTTTTTCACTACCCACTTTCTTACATTATTTATTGAAATCTCTTGATGAAAATTTATATAGTTACTAATCAGACGTTTTCTTTGAAAATCCATATACTGGATGTTCTACATAAATTAACCCAGGTCAGAATTACCGGTCCAGAGGCTTCTGTATATTTCAGAAATTTATTGATGGCAATATTTTTATGACAAATCATGTCTTATAAACCAGATGTTTTGTACTGGATGTTTCATAAAGCTGACACAGGTGGACTAGGCTCCCTATTCTTTTTACTTTTTTTACTTTCTCCACTGAAACGTTTTCAAGAAAACTGACCATTCGCTTTTTGAAAAATCCATATACTGAATGTTCTACAAAATTGAGCCAGGTCTGATTAACAGGCAAAATTTTCCTTTCTCTTTTAACTTTATTTTTACTTACTAAAGGCTTTTAATGAAAAATTGTATAATTACTAACCAGATACCTTTTTGGAAGTTTATACTGGATGTTCCAAAAAATGATCCACTTCAAAATTATGAGAAAGTGAAACTTATTTTTTTCCCATATCTGCCTTACCTATGTACTGAAATCTTTGAATGAAAAATTGTCTATTTATAACAAGATACTTCAGAATTAGGAGAGTGAAACTTAACTTATTTTTCCCCATTTCTGACTTACCTACGTACTGAAGTCTTTGGATGAAAAATTTTATATTTACTAACTAGATACCCCTTTGGAAGTTTATACTGGATGTACAAAATGATCTACATCAGAATTGAAACCAAAACAAAAAGGCGGCAGACTTGATGTTTTTTACCCTTTTTATCTTTTTCTACTTTCTTTAGTAAAGTTCATTGATGAAAAATTTTGCATTTACCAACACGATGCTTTTTTGATAATTTTTATACCAAATGTTCCAACAAAATTGATCCTGGTCAGAGTTGCAAGTGTTCAATCGTATTCATATTCTTTTTATTTCAATCTACTTTATTTTTTGAGGTAACAATTTTATAATATGTTTTTTTGAAGCTTTACAATATACTGTATGTTCTATAAAATTGATCCAGGACAGACTCCGTGGATTATTCCTTATCATATTCATTTCTTCTACTTTATTTAGTGAAGCCTATTCATGAAAAATTTTTCATTTAGTAACCAGATGCTATTTTAAAACTTGCTACACAGAATGTTTCACAAAATCGACCCACATTTGAATGGTGATAATAATGTAGATGGTGGTGATGTACATAATGTAAATAATGGTAATGTAGATGATGGCGATGTAGATTATGGCGATGTAGATGATGGTGATGTAGATGATGGTGATGTACATGATGGTGATATAGATGTTGCTGTAGTAGATGATGGTAATGTAGATAATGGCGATGTAAATGATGGTCAGGTAGATGACGGTGATGTAGATTATGGTGATGTGGATGGTGGCGATGTAGATGATGGTGATGTATATGGTTTTGGTGAAGATGTTGCCGATTTAGGTGATGGTGATGTAGATGATGGCGATGTAGATGATGTAGATGCTGGCGATGTAGATGATGGTTATGTAGACCATGGCGATGTAGATGTAGATGATGTAGATGATGTTGCTGTAGATGGTGGCGATGTAGATAATGGCGATGTAGATGATGGTGATGTAGATTATGGTGATGTAGATTATGGTGGTATAAATGATGGTGGTGTAGATGTAGATGATGTAGATGATAGCGATATAGATGTAGATGAGGGTCATGTAGATGATGGCGATGTGGATGATAGTAATTTAGATGATGGTGATGTAGATGATGTGACGTAGTGATGTAGAAGATGGTGCTGTAAATTATGGTGATGTAGATGATAAAGCTGTAGATGATGGCGATGTAGATGATGGTGGTGTAGATGATGGCGATGTAGAGTATGGTGATGTAGATGATGGTGATGTAGATCATGGCGATATAGATGACAGTGATGTAGATGATGACGATGTAGATGTGATGATGGAGATGTAGATGATAGTGATGTAGATAATAGCGATGTAGATTATGGTGATGTTGATGATGACGATGTAAATGATGGTAATGTAAATGACGGTGCTGTAGAAGATGATACTGCAATTATGGTGATGTAGATGATAGCGATGTAGATGATAGCGATGTAGATGATAGCGATGTAGATGATGGCGATGTAGATGATAGTGCTGAAGATTATGTTATGTAGATGATGGCGATGTGGATGATAATGATGTAGATGATGGTGATGTAGATGATGCGATGGTGCTGTGGATCATGGTGATGTAGATGATGGTGTGATGATTTAAAAAACATACGCGCAAGAGAGTGCTCCGCGAAGCGGAGCTCATGGGGCCCGCAGCGCCGCCCGAGGGCCGAAGGCCCGAGAGAAACGTCAAGTCGGCGAAGCCGACTTGCCTACGTTTCTAGTCAATTACTATTAATTAGCGATAGCTCCGCTCGCGTCCCGCACTCACCCCTAAAGAGCGCCGATTTCCATGTGCTAAGGCTTTTCCGGCGGGGCGAGCGACGGTTCGGGGCCGGGCCCGGAGGACCCGGCCTTCCTTTTTTCGTGGTTTAGGGGTGTTTCGGTCGAGGGTTGTCGGCGCCAAACCGGAGAATTTTCCGGTTTTTCCGGGGTTCCTCGAGGGGCGTGGCCCATTTTTCGTGTGCGACGCACGTAGAACATACCGGAAACGCCTCTAAATGTCACTCGGAGGGTCGTTTTTCCGGAACTGAAACTTTTTTTACGGGGCGAATCTGCGGTTCTCTTCGCTACTACGCCCGACTTTCGTCCTTTCTTCTTCCGTGAGGCGTAGTTTCGCGGCGAATCTTCTACTCCGCATCGCCGAAATTTGCTCTTCAAAAAGGCTCTGCACCGTCAAATCCCTCGAAATACCCGTCTTTTTGCTAATGCTCGGTTTATCTCGCCGAAAACGCCGTTTTCGCGACGGTATAATTTTTTTTCCTCGCTCTGGGGCCCTCCGCTTCCTGCGCGAGAACGAAGCCCTGGCCTTTCTCTGGGCGTACGGACCGCGCCCGAGGACCGACGAGGCCCCATTTGGCCCCCCGAGACGCCTCTTTGACGGCGCGTCGCGACGATCTCACACTTTCATATCTCCGTCAACTTTTTTTATGTCAAATGTAACTAAATTTAAGACCGGCATTAGCGACATGAAATTTGTGCATTCATTCATGGGCGTCTCTTCGCGGCAGGGACGAGGAGAACCTACTTTTTCCGGCTTTTACGAGACATTCGTGCAGCTCCCTCTGTTCAATTATGTATGAACGACATTCCCATACCTCGAACTTTCCGAAAAAATTATATTCACCCCCCACAACAGTCGCAGCGGGTCTTAAGTGATCGTATTTAACCCTTAAAATGAAAAGTTCGCAAGTCTCTGAACCGCTGTCACTTTAATGTCACACAAGATGGCCGCCATCCGTAGATCGTAGCAAAATTGAATATTTTTAACTTTATATGCACCAATTTGTGTGAAAGAAGCTAAAACGCGAAGTTTTGTATCGTATTCCATATATCTGTGAAGCTGTGGCATAGTTTTTTTTCTCAAACGGAAAATTACGTTTAACAGGCGTTCACATGAGGTACGTGACCCCACGTTTGCTTTGTGACCTAGACCGTCAGTTAAATACATTCTTCTAACTTAACATAACGACCGGTAAATAACGTTACAAGTTTTAAAATAGCCTTTACCCATTCCTTAAAAAAATAATAACCTCTTGCAGTACAAATCTGCGACATATCTGAACAAACCTAGAACATTTATCTCCACGTTTTCGGTCACTGACGATCGTCGAATCGCCCCCATCTGTCAACTCCTGTCATTTGTCAAGTAAAATAATAAACCTGTGCATTGAGAAAAGCTACCACCAAGTTTGCTCAGAAGACAAATAATCTGGTATCTGGTCTGGGGTGTCTTGCAAAAACCCTTTCTACAGGTATAGTATATGTATTTTTTTTACCCGACCCCTTAGAATCTAACGTGAATTTTAGTTTTCCAGTTACAACTATGCAGTGTGGAAGTTTTGTGTTTTACAAGAATCCACCACTACATTACCTACACTTCTACTGAGGAACCCAGGAAGCCACCAGTTAAAGTGATTAAAGAACAAGTGATTTTCACGAGTGCAGGTTATAAAATTGTGAAATGTTCCCTGAGGTCAAAGACTTCAATGATACGGGACCTGTCTCAAAAACTTAGTCTTTTTTTGTTCAAGTTGTTTATTTTTCACAGCAGGGATATGTGATTATTATTTAACCATTCTCGCCTTCCATGTAGTAACTTCAACTACACTAATTCTAAGAAATCTATGGCAAATAAAGTTATTTCAAACTACATTCAAACTACATTACATTAACTTCATTTTATAAAAAAAATTGTTCAGTTAGGTACGTCTGTAATAGTCCAATTAAACAAGCCTTTAAATCGAAATTTCGTCAACTTGGCTGAATTTTT